GAATTATATTAAACATTAATAAAAGTACAATATCTCATGGCATTACTTTATTATACATTTTTGGATATCACATTTATATATTAGATATCGATCTAACTATTAGGACAAACATATTTATATTTTTATTAAAATGATAGTTATGCTTTGATAACACTCCAGCACCCCAACCCGGTTTTCCTCCGATGCTCCACCTCACTGAGCTCCTCGAGACCTGCAAAGACGCTGGGAGATGCTCCCGGTAGTAAACCTCCGACGCTCAAGTCAGTAAGGAGTAGAGGAAAGTTGTATGTAACTGTGAGAAGTATTCGGGTCTTAGAGTATGATTCCCCTTACCTCCTCTTCCAACTTATCTATTTATATGTAACTTGTAGCTTTTTCCCCACGCTTCGCTTTCTGTCCATCAGATCACTTGTCTCCTCTTGATCCTGACGCTCCACGTGTCCTTTATACACTACTACTCATAATTGCCTTATCTGCTCGGTCCATTAAGACCAACTATCTGCTCGGTCATCTTCTCAGTTCATTAAGAGACCAGCTATCTGCTCGGTCATCTGCTCAGTTCATTAAGAATAGTTATCTGCTCGGTCATCTGCTCGGTCTATCAAGATCAACTATCTGCTCGGTCTATCAAGACCAACAATCTGCTCGGTCATCTGTGAACTTCCATGTGCTCGGTCTTCATTGAGCTTCCATCTGCTCGGTCTTCATTGAGCTTCCATCTGCTCGGCCTTCATTGAGCTTCCACATGCTCGGTCTTCAGTGAACTTACATTTGCTCGGCCTTCAGTGAACTTCCATCTGCTCGGCCTTCATTGAGCTTCCATCCGCTCGGTCTTCAGTGAGCTTCCATCTGCTCGGTCTTCATTGAGCTTCCATCTGCTCGGTCTTCATTGAGCTTTCATCTACTCGGTCTTCATTGAGCTTCCATCTGCTCGGCTTTCATTGAGCTTCCATCTGCTCGGTCATCTGTGAGCTTCCATGTGTTCGGCCTTCATTGAGCTTCCATCTGCTCGGCCTTCATTGAGCTTCCATCTGCTCGGTCTTCATTGGTTCCAACTCGTAACTACCAAATCACACCTAACCAAGCTACTGACAGTCTTTTGCTACGTAAGCCGAGTTGTCACCTAACAGACTCCGAGCTCGATTAACTCCGGCCCGCCCATCCGACCAAGTTTCCTCCGGTTCACCGAGCTACTATCATGTGATATAACATGCTTGAAATATATATAAACATATGTGTGACAATTAATATTATAAGTATATATTTTTATTTAAATTATACTAATGACTCGAGAAACAAAAAACGGCAAAAGAGGAAAATATATAGGGAAATCATTGTAACTTTATCCTAGTATTATGATTAAATTCTGTTCATCATTATGTATAATTATTTTAAATTATTTTTAATGATTAATTATTAAGTAGTTATTTCGAAATTCTATCCGTATATATATAAGACCTAAACGAACAAAATAATCATTGTAGTACGTTTGCAGTCTCATTAATTGTGTTTTTCAGATAAAAAAAAAAAAAAAA